ATAGATAGATAGATAGATAGATAGATAGATAGATAGATAGATAGATAGATAGATAAATAGATAGATAGGAGGGGGGCAGGTAGACAGAGACAGAGACATAGACGGAGAGACAGTAAGACAGAGATGCAGAAAGACAGAGAGACAGGGAGAAAGAGAGGGGCATGCCACTGGGCGGAAAAATACTTCGTAGGAAGTTGGCTCTTGGGATGTAAGTTATTGGCCTTGTTGTTGCTTCCATATAGGAGAAAGAGTAGGGAAGTCCGTACGTCTTGCCTTGAGCAGTTTCATCGGTCACCAACCTAACGATGTGCTTCTAATTTGTTTAAAGCTTTTGAGCTAATAGAGCCTAAAGTTAGGCAACCAATAACTGGGTTCTCATGTATTCTCACGGTTGCCCATTTTCAGTTTTAAAAAAACCAACAACCAAAAATACAAAACAAAACAAAACAGCCCACCCCAAAAAAAACCCAACAACAACCCAACAACAACAACAACAAAAAAACCAAACTGCACGTCACTACCCCCCCCCCCCCCTCTTATTTAACGTTATTCTTTGCTCGTTACATGAATTGCAGTCCAAATAGATGTAAGATGCGGTCTACTTCTCCGTGCTCGTGAAAGAAAGACAAGGACGTTCACTTTAACTTTCAGAGAGTACTTGGACAGAATCCTTTCGAGGAGGAGTAGGAGGAGAGAGGGAGGAGGTGAATGAAGATAAAAAGAGGTTTAGGAAAAAAGAAGTGGAGAAATACAAGGGCATTACTTCAAATAGCTTTCAATGAGTACTCTGACACAATTCTGAGGAGGGGGTGGACAGGAGGAGGCGTAGAAAAGAGGAGGTAGGAAAAGAATCCGAGTGTTAGGAGGAGAAGGAGGAGGAGGAGGTGAAGGAAGTGTCTGAGAGTGGAGGAGTAGAGGGAGAAGTAGGAGGAGGAAAGGTAGAGAAGGTGGAGAAGGAGGAATGAGAAAAATCACACCGAAGAGATAAAGGAAGATGGAAGATGATATAGAAGCGTAAAGTTTGCATCGTTTCACCGTACCCGCTTTGACTTCTTTCAAGTTCTCTTTCATTCAGACTTATCGATCGAAAATCCCCCCCCCCCCAAAAAAAAGTTTAAAACAGAGAAAGAAATCAAATTCAAAAGCTCTTTAACTCGTAAGAAGTGTTTTCCTCGCTTTCCAAAGACCTACTTTGTGACTAAGAGTACATGGAAATCACATTAAAAAACCCTGGCTTTTTATGTAGCTACTTCAGCGGTACTTTCAGTTCGTTCTGCTTCACTTCTAAATTTTAATAAGGTTACTCAGCAACTGTGCACGGCACTCAAACACCCCAAAATACTTATTATGTTAATTTTAATAATCGAAGCGGGTAGAGATTGGTTAGGTGGGGTTGTTTTTCATGCAAGCTTATTATTGTTAATGGTGGTGGAGGAAAATAGGTGATGAAGGTGAACTGGGCCTTGGGGTTTAATGGCTATGATTATGACAGTCAGTTGTCTACTTCGCTATCCTAGAATTACAATGTTCTATCTGGTTAATTAAAATAGCCTAGATTGAGAAATTTGAAGTTTGACAACAAAGTTTGAAAGCAATTCTTTGAATATCTTGATAACGACTCAATAATCTTACGATTTTGATACGGCAGACAGAACGTTTGGTTTCTCACGTCACTGTCGTAGTAACTCAATACTGCCTAACGTTAGAAAAAACCGTTGTTGTGATTCTAAGATAGCGACTAATTGTGCTTTATTATAAAACAAAACTAAACATCAGTGCCAAGGTGGGTGGTTGGCGGGTGCTCTGGTGTGGTTTGCTTCTTCTTTCCTATCAAACATCTATCGTCCTTATCTCCCCTTCTTCTTTTTTTATGTTTGTT